TTGATCTCCGTACTTGCCTCCAAGTCTAGGCGTTTGTATTTTCTGCCTGCAAGAGTGAATTCTGATTCCCATAGGTATTGATCTGGATTATACTCCGCCCTATTTAGCATTGTACCAGAAAATGCAAAAAAAAAAAAGTTGAAAGACCATAATAAATAAATGCTGCTCAAAATCCTACAAAGTAAATGCTAAAGATATAATATAGGGTATTGAACGAGAACATTATCAAACTATATCTGCAGTAAGACATGGAAAAAAATGACACTAATATGAAAATTAGTCATATTAAAGAGTGGTAAAGGGAGGCCCCAGAAGAGTCTAAAGGTAGTTCTGTCACATCCAAGGAGAATTGGGGATCATGTGATAGAGTTTCAAACCATGTATTCTAAAAAAGAACATGTTAAGGACAAGGTTATAAATCTCACTCCGATACCAGATTCTGTCATCTCCAGGACCAAAATATGGTACCAGTGTACTCAATGGCACATCAACCTGTACTGTTTAGTCCCAATAAAGAAAACAATAAGAAAAACATTGACTGGTACCAGATTATATGATCCAAAACTGGTTCGTTTTCACACCGATAAACACTGGTTGGTGCAGGCTACCAACCAGTATTTGAAACTTTGTTCGAGGAGATGACAATAATATGTATGTGGCAGATATAAAAAGCAAGAAAACCAGCTAAAAACAGTATGCTGAGCAAAGCTTATATATAATAGCTTTTGGAGTAAGTTAAGGACTGCTTGATAAGGGAAAATAGGGCATTTATAATATTATGTGTCCAAGAGGTAAAACCAAGAGGTGATTGTAAAAGTTAGGGGAATTAATCTCACAACTATTTATAATGGGTAACGCAATTTTAGAACTAGAAAATTGTTTTACAGTAAGACTTTCAGGTATGTCCAACAAGTTAGTACAAGTGACTTAAAAAGCATTAAATGGACGGAAGATGCAATAGTGTAAAGCACATTGTTTAAGGTATGAAATGATCTAAGAGATTCTGAGGTAGCTAAGCAAATTTGTTTTTTAAACTTTTGAAATAAGCAAATATATGCTGAATGGAGAATAAGCACGTTAAAACTGATGTATGCAGGAGATATTCAAAACTGTACAAACTACAAACTGTCAACCCAAAACCATGCTAATAAAATCTTGCATATAAAAACCAACAAATTTGATGTCCCTGGAAGCCCCTTGAATAACTAGTGATAATGTCCTGAATGAAATTTAATAACAGGAAAGGATTGATGTAGCTGACTCAAATATAGATGATAAGTAAGACATGCTGTTATTGTGGTCTACCAAAGTAACAAAGATTTGAGATTTCATGCAAGTATGACAAGATATAGTAGTCTGATCATATAAGTAAGAAAAGATAATCCTGTTAATAAAGTCGAGAGAATTTGCTTAGATGCAAAATAGCTGGTATATAAGACATAATATATCTCCTTATTATCCTACTAAGCTTGCATGGACTACTTTTGCATAAGCAAAAGTGTAAATGATCTGTCACTGACATAGTAGTGCAAGGTAATTTTGGTAGAACCACAGTCCATGAACAAAGTTTTGAACAGGTTATATATCAATTAGCAGAAACATGATGGCATTCACTCAAAGTGTGACTGCTTCTTAAGATAAACACTTGGAATCACAACCAGAAAAACAAGTGGTACAAGAGCATCTTCAGTTCTCCAAGAAAGTAGAGAAATTATTTTAAGTTCCAATTAAAATTTTGAGATCAAAAGTATTTAACAAATAAAAACCAATAAGGAATGAATCTAAAGCTAAAAAAGGTGCATGTGCTTTCCCAAAGAGCAAAATATCAATAATTTATCATTTTGATGACATGATTTTAGAATAATTCAAGCTATAAAAATAAGCAAAAAAAAAGCCTAGAAAAGGATTCTGCTTCAAGAGGTTTTAATAATCAACTATTGGAATGACAGTATAAACTATGGTGGTATAATGGTAGAGCACCAATCCACAATCGAACTTTTCAACATATCACATATCAATTAACAGGAACAAGATGATATGTGCTCTCATTGAAAATCTGACTGCTAGTTAAGATCAAATTTTGGAGCCACAACAAAATATGGTAAAAAATTTCCAGATTTTACAAGAAAATAGTGCAACTACTAATGTGGTACTTCAATTTTTTGAGACCAAAGGTATAATTTAAAAACAAATGTTTTTCAAAATTGCATACGTAAATTTCCAAATAGCAAAAGAGGAGTAAAATTTCATTTTCCAGGAGAGGTAGTCGTCAACTATCAGAAAGATTATGTAATGCCCCCTCAAAATTCATATGTAAATTTTTAAAAGAATAACTAATGTATGTAGAAATCAAAATATCTGATCTGAGCGATGCTAGCTGCATTAGCACAATGGGCATGGACAACGAGTCTTGGAATCATAAACGATTTATAAGTAACAAAAATAAAAAAGATCAAAAACTGGATAGAAATATTAACATACCTAGGAGGCCGTATCACAAAGTTGATGAATTGTTCAATCATCCCCTTCCCCACACACCTCTGAGCTACAACAAGTCAGGGTGTTACAGAAGAAGGAAGCCTCCGAGAACATTAACAATCCTATTAACTTCTCAACGTTCCTCTCCAGAAGGTCACTTGGATCTCAAGAATAATAACAGGATAACCAATTTCTCAGAGCAAAAAACAGAAGCAACCACACCAGCTGCTTCAAAACCAAAGGTTCCTGCTCTGCTGGTTCTGTCCTGCTCCAGCGTATAACACTAACTTGGTTCTTAAACCATTCAATACAACCACAAGCCAACCCTAGAATTTAAGCTAGAGATAATGCTTGAGAATTAGTTAAACGCAACGCCGACCTGCGTTCACCAAAATTTTAAATACAAGGGCACGAGATTCCAGTAACCCCGAGCCCTCCATCCAGGAGGAAACCCTAAGTTCGATCACGGGGTTTCCTCAAGCCTCATTTTCACCAAAAAGATCGTGTGGAACCTATCATCTGCTCGTTAAAACCACGCCTTTCCTAGATCCTCGACCTCGTGGGCTCCAAAAACAGTCGAACCCCCCCGCAAAAGCACCTCGTTACTCGATCCCCAGGACAAGGCCACACGGAATAAAGGGGAATTTGAGATCCGGACACCGTAGAATTCCTCCAGGCAGGCAATCGCAGCAGCAGAACCCTAAAGCTCAAAGCCGGTACCTCGAATCGGGAAGAAAGCTCGGACGGCGTGGCTTGACGGCTCGATCCTTCACCGTTCCGCAGATCCGTCGGTCGCACCGCTCCGGGGTGGGAACGGGGCCCAAGATTCGATGGAACCGCAGGAAAACCCTAGCGATCTGGGAGCAAAGTAAGGATTCGCGGGGCCGGAAGCATCCAAGGCCGAAACCAAGATAAAAGGGAATCCGGAGGCGGAGGGCAAGCGAGATGCCGACAAGTCTTGGTTGCGGAGCGTGGGACTTGACTACGTTGTTTTCACCCGTTGAGAGAGTGAGTGAGAGAGAGAGAGAGGTACCGAATAATAATAATAATAATAGTGGCAAAGAATGCGTTATTTATTCAGTTAAAAATAAAAAAATTATCGAGGTGGAGACCGAGGAGGACCGAAGTGCACATCACATGAATAAAACTTTGCCGCGTCCGTCCGTAACCCGACTCCCCTACCGGTCCCTCTATTGGAGCCACAGCTGGTAAAAACGAAACATGAGGTAATCGTAGAAACGGGTTCCAAAAGGGTTATCGATTCTTTATTTTTCCTGAAAAGAGGACGCGACCGGGAAGTCATACGCATGCGTACGCGAGAGGTGGGCTCCACCCTGGCCTGTCCACACGCCATCGCCGTCCTGCAAAGCGGGAGGGGGTTTGGGGTGTCGGACCCTCGCTGCGATGGTTTTGCTTGACCCGCCCAGGGGAGTACAAAAAGCAGTAGAGGGCATTTTGGTCATCCCAGGAAAAAGCAGTTTCCGTGGGGCCTCGAGGCATCGAATCGGTGTAGGATGCCAGCTCAGACTGATTTGGAAGACCATATCTTAATTAGCAACTGTTTCGGATCAACTAAACAATGGGTTGGCGTTTGCCTCTATCTCCTCCTAATCATGCACATCCCAGCTTCAACACCACGTCATCTGCCACGTCATAATTTCACCAGACCTTGCCTATTCGTTAAGTTTTAACTGGGGAAAATTCCCATAAAAAAATCGTATTTTTTAAAAATTCTCACCCCTTTTTTTAAAAATTATCATATAATGTATATTTTTTAATATTGATATTGCTTAACTTCTACTTGTCCATCATCATCTTCGTCTCTTTTCTTCTCTTTTTCTATTGTTATCGATGAAATATCGTCTCTTCTCTTCTCTTTTTTTATTGTTATCGATGAAATATAACGAACAAGGATGAGAGTCACAGAAAGACAACAATGATCATAAGTCTTCATTAATAACGAGGATAATGAGAAAAAGAATACAAGAGTCAGACAAGGGTGGTGAGACAAGGGGATTGAGGCGACCACAGAGAAAATCATCTTTTTACAAAAAAATGAATGCTCTAGAAAATTTTATCAAAATTAGATTTAAAAAACATTTATACTTTTTAACTTTATAATAACATCTCAATAGGTTTGACTTTAGCCTAATTAAAAAAATTCGCTCATACACATCTATTGCATCGTATGATATGTAGGACTTATTCCAACAGTTGTTGATGTCCAACCTCGTGCTCACGTTGATGTAATAATATGCCAAATTGAAAACCCTTGTGCTGAATCCAAGCTGGAATTTGGTTAATTTGATAATATAATCGAACACATGCATGATAATCAAAGATTATTTATGTAAAAAAATGAATGGTTATGAATCTGATTGTTAAATGCATTAGTACTCAAATATTCTCAATTTGATCCATGAGATTGCACTAAATAAAGCTTAATTGTTGGGAAATACTCTACAATTTCATCTTATAGCGATCAACAAATACATATATGATACACTGTATTACTCCAATAATAAATCTTAAAACATATGTATTTATTCACTACAATTTCTTTGAATTCTTACCTTCAAGTAAACAAGAGCACCTAAACCAACCAATCAAGGGGCAAAAATATTGAGTGGCTAATGTATGTCATCTATCATTATTATTACAACAATGCCAGATTGATCTCTTTGGCAAATGTAGAGCTGTCATAAGATGATATCCACAAACATTTTACTTACAAGGGTATTTCCTTGTTAGAGATTGAGATTAAATCTAACAGAGCAGGAAGCAGTCAAGGCACCATTGCTGAGACTTGCTGCATCAACGAGGCAAACAACCCCTTTCCAACAGATGTACAAAGTCCACGATCAACAGGTTCAAAAGAATCACCACGCCATATTGCGTCGGAACCTCTGACGGAACTGTTTCTTTGAAATACACCATGCATTAGCGAAGGTGCTCACCTGTATCCAGGCCATGTGAAAAGTCAATACTATGGTATAAATCAGCCCATGACTTACTAATTTGTCATGACGGTGGGAAAGTTGGATACTAGAGAATGTTAATCTAACATAATTGCACTCATGTAGTTTTACTGAGCAGAGCAGATGATATAAAAGAGTAGAGAAAAACTAGGAAGTATCATGTGATTAATAAAATCACACTGTCAGCACTTATTCATTTGATTGGCTGCAGTCAGAACACCAAATTGATTCTTGTCATTTACAATCCAATCTCAGTTCCTGCCACATTGCAGTGGTTGTGGCAAACATTCAACATAATTTTAGCATTTTATTTGACACAGACAACACAAAAAAATTATTCCAGTGGCTGTGGCGAACACTAAATGTAAGTAATTTTAGGATTTTACTTGACACCATGGTAACATAAATTACTTCAATCAGCATGCTTCAGAATGACTGTTGGTGTTAATATGTCCAAAAACATGCCAATACATAAGCAAGGAAAAGGAGGATCAAGTGATGAGAGAATATATACACACATTGAGATAAAAGTAAGTGGTATTAAAAGGATAAAAGATCTAATCCTGAATTTGTTGATGTGATGCTTGATCCAATATTGGAAGCAGCCCGATGTGACAGTGAAGTTAGACAAACAATCCATTCTACAGAATATGGAAGTGAAATGGCTGCCTCAGCTGCCCAACCATCAAAATTTCTAGGAGTTGCTGCACTAGCTGCATGATCTCAACCCCAAATAGTGTCAGTTGCTACAACCACTCAGTACTTCTGTATATAGCCTAATCAGAATTTCTCTTTATCATCATTTTCGATGTCGTATGTCATGAATAATAATTGTTTTATTTTTAGGAGGAAAATAATTGCTGAAATAAAATAGCTATTGAGGATGTGGTTGCTTGTAACTTACATTGCTGATGATCTTTGCTCCATACCAAGCAGAATCAGCACCAAATGGTGGAGGCATGACCTTAACTCCTTCAGACATTGACGGTGAAAGAATTTTATGAAGCTCTTTCTCTAGCCTCTCTGAGAAGTACCATTTATAAAATATAAAACATATTCAAATTATTACATTCATAAAAGTACACTTCTAATTCATGCAGAACATGTAAATAACAAATAAATGACTCCATCACACCACTTACGGAGTGTGTGACCCAGAATATCCATTCAACGATATGAGTGCAACATACCTGGCAATCCAGGTAGACAAGCACTTCCACCAGCCAAAACCACAGTTTTAAACCATGTGTCATCACTGGCCACTTCTGCAGCCAAGCAATGATCCATACAGAGAGCTACAGCTCGATGCAAACCCATTGTGCGCCTGTAAGGACAGAGATAGCACATGGCGATGTGTTAGACTTGTGGCTCCTTGTCCATCTTCCACAATAAAAGGAAACAAATATATCTAACAACATTTTTCAAGCAAACTGGTGATCATTACATAAATATAAGAAATCTCATTACTGCCAGAGCTGTCTTTCTTACTAACCATTAAAAAAAATAACCACAACCATAATAAGTTATTTGCAATTCACAAGAATAGGAGAGCTCAGATAGTAACAATGTGCTTTTACAAAGTATGTCGAGAAAAATTGATGAATTCCATAATAAATCATTGTGTAGACAATTATGAACACCCACTGTTCATATTAGTTCCATCCATGGTATGCAATTTCGAATGGTACCGCCCGGTATGGACAGTACATACCAATCTAACGGCATACCGGTACGCGGACAGTGCTACAGTGCTACAGTAATACACTATGATAGTGCTACAGTGTAAATGTTAGACTAGAAGTGAGAAGTAATCAGCAATGTTTCCAAAATTCTGATTTAAATACAAATTTCATTAAATATGTTAGTTATAGGATCTGCATAGAAACTATATTGAAATCTTTGAATCTTCTAGGATAAATGATCTTACCACGATTTTAAAAATTCATGTAAATTTTTCTAATGTTAAATGTTAGACTAGAAAGGAATAGATACCCATAGATAATCATGCAGACTAACCTGTAGTTACTCTTTTGCAACTCATTAGACTAATCATCTTTTAGTAGAATAAAATAGGATACAAAATCAGAATTTCAAGAGAAACAAAGATATTATGCCAAGTTAACAGCTAGTGAAGGAAAGAACTTACACCCCACCAATATGTGGTTGAAAAAGAATCTCTCCAGTTTGGAAGCGTTCCTTTGAAAGAGTGAACCAACCCTCACCAGCAACCTCACATGAACCTTGAGTATTTTTACGTAATTCTGCATCATAATCAGCAGCTATGTAGCATAATTTCTGCATACTCAATAAAGAACTTTTCAGGCCATCATCACCATCAAGTGTTCAAAGCTGAAGAACATCTAAAAATAATCTGATCAATCAGGTCAATAAATATGCACATGAATGTCTAACGCATGTCAATGCATACTTATTCATCAAAGGAAGACCGCAAGTAATACATGTATAGTACAACCTTGAAGTTTACTCTGATCGAAACATCCTTCTTTTACAGTCCACATATTTGTATCCAAAGTTTTACAAAATTAAGGCACTATTACCTGTCTTGATTAAAATATCTGTAACATGTCAAAGTAGAATGTTTATGATGATTGCATAATCAATATTGTACCAACCCACTCAAAAATAAATTACTACATTAAACATGTTAATAGGCGATATATAGTAGACTTATATGGAAGCTAAGGATTTAAATTTCAGTCTGGTACCAGTTTCAGTAACCTACAGGATTGGTCTAGTGCCAGTACGCAAACTGATATGCCAACTTGTACCAGCATCATCGAATAAAATAATAAAATATTTGAATAGTATTGTACTATCATAAAGCTGTACAGTACTTGGACCTGTAAATGTTGGTTCATACTTCATACCAACAGATACGGTTGAGATTTTTAACCCTGGTGGAAGCAACAAGCAGTTGTCACTATAGGCCAAATACTCCAACTACATAGATATAAGACATCCCCACACAATAGCAAACACTGAATATAGTGCACAAAGCACATGTAACACATACACAAAGATGCCTATATGCAACTGATGCCTGTATCTGTCAACCTATGCATGAGCATAATTAGAGAAGTTTTGGATATCATATAGCATATACTAAGTAAAACTTTCTAGTCTTCCTATATATGACAAAGGAATTTGTTTGACAATTGGAGGTATATCAAAGAGCTGAACAGAATGGGGCTGGTGTTCCACATTCAATGGCCACACACATGGGAAAAAGGGGTTCTGTGGTAAATGAAGCAATTATTTTTTATAGCCTAGGAGAACAAAATTGCATCAAGACAAGCTGATACACATGCCCAAGAGACTGAGGAATAGATAAAAAACCGAACTAAAAGGAATTATTAATTACCTTGGAAGAAAGCATGAAAAGAGTGACCACCATGAAATAGTATCAAATTATAGATATCATCTTGTATTTCGCTAGAACAATATTGGATCAATTTTCGCATGAAAAAGGCTGTTCTTGTGATCCAAAAAGATGTACAAAGACTTCCCAAGAGAATATTAAAATTTTAGATTTACAGTTGAAGTTCATGACAAAGAGTTCCAAACCAGGAAACACACAAAGAATATCAACATTAGTTGAACTTTCAGATATTTTAACACTTCAGCTTGTTCCTGTCCCCTTCCAAGTAGAATTTTGTCTCTACATGTCCGCATCAAGACATATGCTGCATGAATATGCATACAAGGATGCACCAAATACTGATGCAGTTTTCAGAACTATACACGAGGGATGCCTTTACAGGAATCCCTAGATGATGGAACAATTGATTTGCTTGGCAGATTGTGCAAATGCCCTACTCATCATAAGTCTCCATCAGTTGCTGAATGTGAACAGTAACTTATTACCTCTGGAGTGTCTATTCATACCTCCTTGATTGTTCTAACAGTGTATAGTGACTCAAAATTTATACTTCGTTGCTGCATTAATTCCCTGAGAAATCCAGTAAGCCTTAAAGCACCTTGTCCCAGAATTTCGATACCAACATCATGCATCACCTTACCTCTTAGAACTGTAAAATAAAATCCTCTATTAGAGAATTGAATGAAAAATTCAGGAAGCTTATGCAATTTATAGGTAGCATAGGCAAGTAAGCAACAAGGCCAGAATTTAACACAACTAGTCCATTAAAAGCCAGTTTTAAAACCATATTTTAATAGAATGTGCTACTAATAAATAGATACAAGGAGAATCTGTAAATTGACTTGATAACTAAAAAACAAATGCAAAAGACATACATCAAAGAAATAACATATCAACAGTTGATGTGATCAATCACATATTGAACAGTAAAAGCAATGGCAGGGAGCATGTTACCTGAGTATCTTGGCACCTGGCTGATACATCATCACCAAGGTCACAAAGCCCCAGGCTTAAATGTGCTCTATGAAGTGGAATGTTAATATTTCATATAATTTAATTTTATATACTGTTATCGGAAGTGTTCATGATACTTAATCGACATTGAATTATTCATTAAATAAAGTGAAGAATAACAAAGATCTATAAAATACTCATAATCCTTATCAAGCCCTACTCCTCAAAGGAAAACAAAACCAGGTCAGTTTTCCCAATACTCAATTGCTGTATTCTTACAAAGTTTTGCATTTTCCACTGTTGCAAGCCGTTAAAGGAGCCTGTGCTAAAAGATCACACGACAAAACTTGTGTATCATGGAGTTCCCTGGCGAAGACATCCTTGATCTTTTAGTGCCCAACAGATACTAATGAAGTAATAAGATAAGACACAGGTGGTAATGAAAGGACCCTTAACATACAACTTGCACCTGAAAGCCGGGGGAAAAAACAATCATAAAACTACCATTGCACTCTAGTACTCACAAGGCACCATAATGCAGGGATAGAGCTAAGACTTTTAGACAGGTGAGACACCACAGGTATGGTCAATCAGAAATTTTAAACTTAAGGCTTCTGAAAGCTTATCATTTATGTTACATGTCATTTTTCTGTGCATATACATAAAGAATATATAAGTCAATATTTGAAAAATAAAATACTAGAAGAAGAAAATAAATATAAATGACATAATTTACCTAGACTAAGACTTGTATCATCGGTCAGATTTTTGAATTATAGTCTATTTTGCATATCAAAAGGTTCTCCTCACATTAAGGAAAGATGTCTAAAAGGAAATACAGAAGAATTTCATCAAAGTTTTTGGGGAAAAATAAATACAAGAATCAGACTGTGGGTGCAGGTGTGCGTGCGTGCATGCATGTGTGTACACATGTGTGCCTGTGTTTGCGGGTGCGTGTATGCGCACGTGCGTGCGTGCATGTGTGTGCGTGCGCAGGCATACACACCTTCCCTTCTAGAAGGGAGAACTTATACAAACAAAAGGATACAGATAAAAAGTTGCACAACAGGCTGTCAGATGGATCAATCCGGCAGATAAGCTACTCTTTTGACCTTGTAGGTTAACAAGGTTGTTACAGCCTTACAGGTCACAATAGTAAAAACTAATAATCACAGTAGGAGATAGCAAAATATAACAGTATAATAAGTGACTCTAATTATTTTCTTCATAATAAAGACATTGTGGGTTTAACTCTCCATGCAGGCAGTTTCCATGTATTTGGCCCAGGTAATTTTCGAGGTGTAGCTAACTTACTCTGTCATTCACGGACTATGATTCTTGAGAACGCAAGGTTTAGCTTCCCCTAATTTGGAATGGAGGCTAGTTAATATCATAAAATATTCAGGGAAATGAATGGTGAACCTGAAATTATCAAAGAATCATACAACATCGAGGTTTAGCCTTGTTCAGCAGCATTATAGCAAACACAAGTTCTGATGTCCAAGACATAAACTTCCTGATTTTACCTAATGGCATTAACATGACCAACTTTCCAAATGCTAAATCCTAGATAATTAGCTAGTCTAATATATCCAAAAAATAAATGCATAATTAATGATAATCCAAGAGAACTTTACAGAAAGTCGGCTAGCAAACAGACAAAACATTACACCTAAAGCCTTGTGAAGCAAATTCAGAAAAAGCAAAAAAAAAAAAAAAAAGACAAATCAACAATCATGAAGTATCTTATTAAGGTCCATTAGCAAATCTTATGCCATAAATGACATACTAATGAGTTGAAATTCAGTTCATCGGGGGCTTTTATCAGTAACTGAGGACCCATATAAGTGCAAACTCTCATTCAAATTTTGATGACAATAGGAAACATAAACTTACTTGGAACTATTGAAGTTACATGGAAGCCAATGTTGACAACAATTCCAGAAGTTCGTCTTGCAGCATATAAAGCTAACACTGCCTGAAATTTTGTTACATAACATCAGGATACAGTGTAAATATGTTCAACCAAACTATCATAGAGCATATACCAAGGCATGCTAAGTTCAAATTTAAACCTGATATTAGAGATTATCGCATGACATAGAGGAGAATAATAATAAAAGATCTAAAATTCTTTGGTCCTCATTGAGTTTAGCAAAACAAAACATTAGATCAGTCTTCCTTATTAAATGATAGTGTCCTTTTACAGGAGCCTATAAGCTGAAACTGGAGTGGAATATGATTTGCTTTGAATCACATGAAAATTTAATAATAACATTCAGCAAGGCTTAAAGCGGCGGCAAAAGTTTCCAATGTAGATCAAACGCAAGAGTGAACCTTTTTTTTCCTTTGTAAAAAAGCATGACAAGTGTTAGAACCAACATTTTCTAGGCAGATATATTTTAAAAACAATGCTCACGTAGGGAAAAGTACTGATAAACTTGAAGTCTGAGCATTATAAATCAAGATCAAACACAGCACAAATTTGTAAGATTCAAGACTATGTACAAGGTGAAGTCAAAGGTGAGTTCCACGACCAAAGACAATTGCTCCAAGATAGGGATTCTTTGGTTCAGGGGGCTCTCATGTTGATATTGTGTCTCAAAAAATATACAGCAACAAGGTCAAATTTACTTGAGCACTGAGAAGGAGATGAAAATGAAGAGCAAAAGTAGAGTTGGGCATGGCCAGCACAGCTTGTAAAGATGAATCTTGATAGTGGGAGCTCTTAGCAATTCTTTCAAAAAGCCAGGGCAGCCCAACTTGAATTTCAGGACCAATTACAGTGGAACTGCAGTTCACACTTCTTCGAACTAAACATGTCAGTGATCCAATATAATGATGGCAGAAAAGAGGGAATCAATTAATCTGATCAAACTGATCAGGCAACATAGAAGCAAGCAGAAATTCGTTCATCTTCACAATGTAATAGATGCTGCTGATTTTAGTCAATTCTATATTATTACCTGATCAACGGCACAAACAGCAGGAGCATTCATATCAAAGAGGACCGAGTATATTGCCTCTCTTAATTGCTTTCTAGAAGCCCTAGCAGCTTCGGTATCTGAAAAGAAAGATTATGCCACATTTTTTATTTGATTTTTTAAAATATATGAATGAAGCAGATTTTCCTCTATTTCTAGCATTACAAGAACATCAGCAAGCAAAAGAATTTTTTCAATCAGACAAAATGCTATCAGGAATATCTAACGTTAGAAATGAAAATTCTACAAAAAATCAGAAAATCTTCTTGAATAAAAATTCCTGCACAGTCATGACAATAGAACATGTGACTTTACTTTGAATTAAGTTTACAAATGTACTGACCATCAGTATGGCAGATTGGAAGGGAGACAATAATTGGCTGGGATGATGCCTTTACTTGCATTCTGTAATGTAATAGAACTTTTTAGACAGAAATAATTGTAGGACATAAAAATAATATATGAATTGCAATCCATAATCATGTTGTGTGCATCAACATTGTTTCTTATCCCCATGATGACCATATTAAGAAAATGAGAACCCAGAAAACTGTGAGGTAATGGATTAACTAGGAAACAGCAAAGTGTAAACACTTTCAACAAATACATTCCCCCAGATGCACCTAGTCGTTACTGCATTTTATCCTAGACTAACAATTTGAAGAAAACTGCAATGCCATATTTCTTGACTTAGCAATGGAGGTATAGTCGTCAGTGAAGTATAAGTACACCTGCTATAGATTGTCGAGAAAAAATAGCGAAGTCTGGCATGCATTGGAGACTCAAGGTTGCCAAATTCCTACAAATGAAAATAAACAAATTAAGTAACCAGTCACCATATATGTACTTTACTAACAGGAAATGAATACAAGAGTTAAACAATGATTAATGTCGAGAAACATTTTATATAGCATTTATAATACAAATTTACTTACTACTAACTGTTGGCATGATAAGAAGTGCTTACTAAGAAGGTAGCACAACGTCCAGATGGAGAAGCGTACTTGCTCCAACCATATTTGCAATAGCCAGATCCACCTTAACATAGTGCAAATGAGTAAGACAAATTGAGCTTTCAATTATCTGAAACAAAAAAAAATCCTGTATATTGAAGAAAATCTAACCATCCAAGTTATCAGAGTTCTGGCAGAGACAAGACTAGACCAGGCTGAAGGTAAAGAAGCTTGGAGATTCAACATATTCAAGTTCATATTGTCCTTACAAAATTCTCACATGGGCTACCAACCATCTGACTCCCCTCTCTCCCTGCTTAAGAGCTGGAACCAGCTACTAAAGGAAGTACAAAACATTGTTCTACAGATTAATGAGGCTACATCAGCTAAAACTAGCCAATATCCATCCATGACTTTTGACTTTCTTGAATTTAACTCCTTATAGGCTTTTCAATGTAGATTAAAAGATTAGTCATCTGGTAAACAACACAAGTAGGCTATCTAAGGAGCACAACAAATATTCCTCCCCCAAGAAAACAAATAGATGGATCGTCAAAAAGGAAAGCTAGACAACCATGTTTTTAAGAAAAAAGGAAACAAATTTAGTTAACTATACAACTCGAAGGTTGGCAACACGTACCATCAATAATAACAGAACCTGGAACTGTTGCAAGCTGCGCATAAACGTTCATAAACGATAACTGCGATGGGTGGTTAAAGTGCAACCTGCATTACAAGGGAAAATGAACTAGGAGTAAAGAACTCGAGCCCTAAGATCTCAGTACCAAAAATCCAATGCCAACTAATAAGGAATACACGAACTTACGATGGTCCATATCTTAATTGGGTCTCGGCGAACAGCAGAAAATCCCACGGCTCCTTCCCACTCTTAAGGAGGTGAAGCCAGAGCGCGTTATCCGACACCAAAGCCTTCCAGGACTTGCAGACCAAGCTTGACCGCGCGGCGCACCTGGGCTCGAGAAGCTGGAGGATCTGCATGAAGACGTCGGTGGGGAGGGTGTCGAGATCACCCAAGGGCGGGTGGTCGTCGGGAAACTCGGGCCAGGAGCGGTTGGAACCCGAGCCGGATCGGCTGAGGACGGAACCCCACACCTTCCGCAGCACGACCGCCATGGAGATCTCGATCAAAGCCGGGGGCCCGGGCTAGGGTTTCGCGAGGACGGCGGTCGGAGGAGACCGATCGAGATCACAAGAATTCGTCGCCGTGTTGATTGTCCCGAAGAAGATATCGGGATTTGGGGGATACGGTTGGGAAGGGGGTCGACTTGGTATGGGAATTTGAGGTGGAAAAACCGAGAGAGAACGAGAGAGAGTGGACGAAGAAGAACACGGTAAGGCGCCATCGTGCGCCGACAAAGCACGCGCGGGACCCGTGCGGGGGCCACGTGGTGTTACATGAGAAGGGCGAAACGGGGTGCCGCCTTTGCCTTCCGGTTTGACGTTTGTTACCCGTTGTCTCCCCAGCCGTCCAGGACCTAGCTATTTGTCGCCGGATACAGACTTTCATGTGGGACCCATCTAATTTATGCTGTAACTTTGGCCAATCAAAATCGGTTAAGAAGCGGGTTTCCGAAAACGAGTAGAAAAACGTTTCTATTCTCCACCCTTGCCACGTTGGTCCCACTCTACCTTACACGGGTAGGCAGGTGAGTGTGACTGAACGGTGGAAAAATAGCAATAATAAGAAAATCCAATAATTGCGGTGTTGATAGTTATTGATGTATGTACATGCGGATTTGCTGTACTTTCGGTAACGGGTTTGCCAACATCCGACCCGTTTGGGTCGCGAGTGAAGAGTTGGTTCGGAGAACGCGTGCGAGTGGCGTTCGCCGTTGCGGAGCATGTGGAAAGTAAGCCGTCTTCGCTCTCTCTTCCCCCTTCGCGGCGGGGCGTGGAGGGCCGCCTCGGTCTGGAGCTTCGGGGACAACAGCAATGGCGCCTTGGGCCTCTCTGCGCCGCTCGCCGACGCCTACGAGCCCACCAGGGTGCCGTCTCTCCCGTCCGACGTCGCCGCCGTCGCCGCGGGTCATTACCACTCCCTCGCCGTCACCGCTTCCGGGGAAGTCTGGGCGTGGGGTCGCAACGAGGAGGGTCAGATTGGAAGACACGCCACTGCCCCAAGGTTCAAACCTGCTCCCCTTTACCTCGATTAAAAGCCCTTCTTTTAATGTCTTGGTTGCGATCTATTGGCGGTGGTTATTGTTTGGGTACTCATCTAATTCAAAGGTTTCTCCTTTGTCTTATTTGTAACCTTTTTTTCTCTTATATTTGACGATAATATGATCTGGAAGATTCCTGACTTTCTAATGATTCATGAATGTTCGTAGATTTTATGTTACTGGTTATGTTCTTGCGGAGATTGATCACAAGCGTACTGCTTTTATATTATATGCATTTCGAATCTTGGAGACACTACATGAAGAATTAGACTTTTCGCCCCAATAACTTTATACCTTCCGTTTGATTCCTATAGTATGGCCGATCAGATGTGGCAATTCTTGAACCAAACTTGTCAAGAATAAGTCGGGTTTTGAATGATCCAGTTTGATACTCAGGTAGGTCCTGGGTCACCAGAACTTGAAATAAATACTAATTGGTGAGGGCTTACCATCTGAACCAAACATGTCAATGTGATCGATATTGATTACAATTTGACCTCTGTTGTTTTAAAATGAAATTATTGATAAACTGAAGGCATGTGTGAAAATGACTGGATGAGAAAAAACAGAAGTGGGATTTCAGGTTTTAGAGGTTCCACTGTTTCTATTTCATGGATGTCTTGATGTCAGTGAAGCTCAACCCTTTCTGACTTACAGGAAATTCCTCTCTGATCATATTGTGTGGACCCTTCAACCATGTGACACAACAAGAATCCTACAGTAAATTTATTACAAGATTGTTGTGGTGCCACCTGTTGATGCCAAGCACCCTTTTTGTTGGCTCAATTCAGGTTGTTCATATGTTTTTTCTTTTTCACCTAATGATTGAAACTGTTTAATTTTAGTAATTGTGATTTATGTTGTAGTGACATGATTTCTGAGATTTTTTTAGAGGTTTACACTGTAGGTTATGCTATTACAATTTATGGTGCTTCATTATGTTTTACAAGTGGTTCTGGTTGATATTCAAAACATGTATCTCAGTTTTAACTACTATTTAAATGGGTTGAGTTAAACAAAGTGACTTTTCAGATAGCTTTTGGGGTTGTATATTCGACTCCATAACAAGTTTGACATTAATCCTGGTTTGTCCTTTTACCTCCGTAACAAGTTTGACGTTAATTCTGGATCTAATCCTAGATTTTACCAAAGAGACTTCACTAGGAACAATGAGAAAGAGATCTGAATGCTCTTATTTAACTAGAGATGTTGCCTGACATAGAGCTCAATGGCAGGAAAATATTATGCAACCGACCCATAGTTGGGACATAACGGCTTCTTGTTGTTGTTCTTAGGAGAAAAATGTTCCATGTACTTCTATCAAATAAGCAACCCGGAGATTCTTACAGCTAAGAGTATTTTTTTAGCTCAATAACAGGAGATTGTAATATAAAAAGTAAATAACCCAACTCTATTTAGTACATAAAATTCCAGTTCGATTGCTGTTTCTTTTTGAAAGTAGAAATAGTGTCACTTGTTCATGTTTATTTTTTTCTTTGAAATAGCTTTAGAGGAATTTCAAGGAAGTGATAACTAACAAGGCGTTGTTTCATCTTCGGTGTTCTTGTGACCTCGTGGATGGCAGAGCCACATGGAATAAACCAGAAAAGGTGATAGGCCTGGATCATGTGAGGGTTGAAGCTGCTTTTGCATCTGGTGTTACTTCTGCAGCCATTGATGATGATGGTTCTTTATGGGTGTGGGGAAGATCCAAGCGTGGCCAACTTGGTCTTGGCAACCGAGTGACAGAAGCTACCAAACCTACTAAGGTTCAAGCACTTGCAGATCATCAAATAGTGAAGGTGCTTAACTTTACAATTCAGAAATAAAGAGAAGCAAATGGACCAAACTAAATTAGAAATGCTATTGGCTAGAACCTGTTAAAAAATATTTTGTAAATAAGTTAATCAGATTATGAGATTATGTGGAACTTCAGAATCTGTCTTTTAATTTGAAATCACTTTAATAGAACTAAAAAAATTGTGGAATAGATACAAGGGTAACATCAGAAAATTGCAAACTTCCCCAAATTTCCTTTTCTCTTTAACATACTTTCTTGTTACTGGGTCTTGATAGATCACTAATTTGTCGTGTTTGCACAATTTATCACAGTACATCAAACTGACTGCTAGTATATCATAACATGCCGTCATCCTATAATACATAGTCTACATAATGTGAATTTCTGGCATGAACAAAAGCTCAACACTCTCTCCTTATTATGTAAGCATGTCTCTTTACTTTTTAGTTTTGCCACTTCTTTATTACATTATTTTTTCATTGCCACTAAACAGGTATCATTTGGATGGGGACATGCATTGGCGTTAACTAAAGATGGAAAACTATTTGGTTGGGGTTATGCAGCGGATGGAAGATTAGGTCAAATGGAACAAAAGCTAGATTCACCACAGACACAACCCTTGGAATTTGATAAATCATTGGAAAGTTTGACGCCTATGCTAGATGTAGTGGAAAAGCTAGTGGCAGAAAAAATTGAGAAAGAGAAGAATATGCCCATTATCTGGGAGCCATGTGAAGTTCTGGAAGTCAGTTGTCTCAATGTCTCTGATATGGCTTGTGGACTTGACCATTCGTTAGTGCTCTGCAGTGAGTCCTTACTTTTTTGTTAGATGGTCCATCCAATTCTCATCAATTACCTTATAAAGTAGTTCTCCTATATTTTATTCTTACTAGATGGTCTATTCAAGCCTCACCAACAACCTTAAAAACTAGTTCTCCTTCAATATTAAACTTGTTTGTGGTTATCCTTTTTCTTCTTGATATTGTCTCTTTTGTTACCTCGAACATATAACATATTCATGCAATTGCAGATAAAATAGGTCGTGTTAAAAAATCTGGAATTTTTGGGTTGATACATTAGGAGAGCAGTTGACATATTTATGTAACTTAATCAAAAGGAAAAAAATAATTGATAATCTAGATGTAAATATAGTGCCATCACTTGCTGGACTTGTTCCTTATTATATCATTTTTTGTCTCAGGCAGTGGCACTGTATTAAGCAGTGGAGACAATCTATATGGTCAGTTAGGGAGAAACACGTATGGATCTATGCTCCCGGTAGGCTTAAATGCCCATGCACTCTCTGTATCAGCAGGACTTGGTCACTCTCTTGTCCTGTGTCAGATTCCATCTGAGGACAGAGAAGAGGTGAACGCTGTGCTCTCATGGGGATGGAATCAGAGCCACCAGCTTGGGCGCGAAGGGCGAGAAGATATGCCTGGGATAGTTGAAGCTCTTAGTGGAGAAAAGCCAACATCACTTTCAGCTGGACGTGTGCATTCAATTGCTCTTACTTCAAAGAAGGAGCTATGGGCATGGGGCTCGGGCAGAAATGGCCGACTTGGATTGGGAAGCTCAATGGATGAGATGGAACCAGCACTTGTAGAGTCTTTGGTAGGTTTGGAAGTCTTACAAGCAGTGGCAGGCTTTGATCATAATCTTCTACTGGTTGTTGATTAGTCCTTACAGTAAGTATTCATTGCTTTATTCGTCCTGAACTGATATCCAGTGTGCTTTTATCATGCTCTCTTAGCTGGTAAAAAAGAAAACTAATTATAATGCTGGAATGACTGCTAAATAAATGTGTGCTTTAGATGTTCTATCAGACATTGAAACAAACTGTTTTATACATGTCTGGTAAAGATTTGTTAGAAGTTTAAAGTAATTTTGCAACAGAAATGGGATAGCTCAAAACAATCTGAAAAAGAAGGGAAAGGAAAAGATAGTTATTCTTACATGTGTCATAATAATCAAGGGAGGAAAAGATGGAACAATTTTCCAAACTCATAATCTTGAGGCATTTTTTTTAGAACAGTTTGATTGGCTTTGCAATCTCTTCTGCTATTACATGTGGAGAAGCTGGCCACTGGGTTGGTTGTTCTCATCTTTTGATTCTCGTGTACATTATGTAATTTACTTGGGGCTTCTTTCTTATGAGGCAGCTTAAAACATGATGAAGCAACAACTTAGTAGCTTCATGCAAGATTCCATCATGTGTGAATGTGCATCTATGGTTGAGGTGATGACCCGGTGCCTGCTCCCGGTATATAATGGGTGCAGGCATGGAGCTACAGACTAAAGGGTAAGTAATGCGTATCCAGAATCTTGTCAGCTGCAT